ATCCATAAGGCTTTACATAGTCACTTTGCTCGACTGTACATAGTCAATTTAGTGGGGTGGATTGAAGTTTTGGAGTGAGAAAAAGAAGAAAAAATAACTGAAATTTTGAAAAGAAGATAAAGAGAGTTAAATATGAAGAATACGTATAGTTGATTGTGGTATACCATGAGAAAAAATAATATTTTATTTTAAGGTTTAATATGTGTTATTTTTATTAATAAATTCACATTAAAATATAAAAAAAATTTAAATTTTAAAATTTAAATTGACACTAACATAGTTTTTGAGTTCAAATAAAATGGTCGTATACTCGCTTTTAGATATATCGGTGTTTGGGTTCAAATAGAGTGGTTCCATACAGTGGCAGAGCCACCATGTGATCAGGGGGGTTACATGCCCTCCCTGGATTTTTTATTTATTATTTTTTTACATATGTATATAATAAAATTTTAAACAAAAATAATATTTAGAATAAAATGTCTAAAGGCGTTTTTAAATTTATGAAAACAATAGTAATTGTTTTATTGAAAATGAAGTAATTACAACAAATTATATTTTTATGTATGAAAACTTTGTGAAAAAATCTCAATATAAAGGTAATATCTATCATTATTGATATGTAAATATAATTAATCTCACTATATATATGTAAAAATTATTAGAATATTAGTTATATTTGCATTTAGATTTCACCCTTCATATGTTGTTTTACTATTGGTCGGTAATATCATATGTTAATAATGACGTGATATCATTATTATATGAAATTTTTACTCAAATTTTGTAAAAATTTGATTTATCTTACCATTATATAATGACTTAAATATATGACTTTTTTACATTGTTCGTGATGCACTAGTTACACACAATATTTTTTTTCGCTTTTACTCGAAATTAATTGTAAAATTTTATGTGAAATACTTTTTTAATAATTTATTTAAGTTTTCGTACTTGATATTAATTCAAAAATTGTTATTATCTTCTTATTGTTGGTTATGGAAAATAAAAAATTAAAGTTGTAATTAATAAGTGTCCCTTCTAATTTAGTTTCCTGACTCCGCCACTAGTTCCATACGATCTAAACCAAAAAAAAAAAAAAAAAAAAAAAAAAAAAAAAAAAGAAAGAAAAAAAAAAGAAGAGGAATGGTCCCATACGAGGATAAGACTCGCCTCTAGAAATATCTGTGATACGAACAAATCCGCGTGGAGCACATAATGAGCCATTGTTTCATCGAAATTGCTTTGCACCAAGGAGTTTGTGTAGGCTGTAGAGCCCCGTCGAAATTTGGAGGTTGCTCGGGTTGAGCCCGCCCGAGTTGCACCCCTAGTCCCATACGAGGATAAGACTCGCCTCTAGAAATATCTGTGATACGAACAAATCCGCGTGGAGCACATAATGAGCCATTGTTTCATCGAAATTGCTTTGCACCAAGGAGTTTGTGTAGGCTGTAGAGCCCCGTCGAAATTTGGATCCCAAAGACTGGAGTTTCCACCTTCATTTCTGTCTTACCGTGCACGAAGTTTCGAAGAAGTTATTTGGGCAGCTTTACGCGCTTCCCCTACGAATATAGTAAATTAGGCATTGTTTAGAAAGGAGGGCGATTTTCATACGCACAAACAATGATTTCGTTTTACGATTGTTCCGTATACGTCTCATTTGGCTCGAATGAGCATTTTGAAGAAACTTCAGTTAAGTTTTTTAAAAAAAAAATTCTTTACTTTATTCTCTCCTGCTGAGAAAATATTAAATCAATTAATTTTCTAAATGCAGTTATTTTAGTTAAGTTAAAATAATTTAAAAGTCAAATATTCAACTTCTCAAACAAGACCAGTGTTCCCTATGTCCCATATTATTTGTCTATCTTTTTTCTTTTTTTTTGGATGTGTCAAAATATTTGTCCATTTTTTTTTTAAAAAAAATGAGTTATTTATTACAACAAATTAATTCAAATATGTTGTTTGTTTAATATGAATGGGACAAATCAACTCAATCAATCTGTTTATTGGTTTTTTTTTTTTTTTTTGTTTCTCAGGTAACAATACATTATTGAACATTTTCTTTAGGGGGTGGTGATGGTGGTGAGAGTGATAGTAGTAAGTAGTCGAGAAGAAGGTGGGGATGGAGGAAGAGGTGCTGGTTGACAGGGTGGTGGAGGAGAAGGTGTTGGTGCTGTTTTTATAATAATAATAAAAAAAATGTTTAGTAGCGTTTGGTAGAATTTTAGAAATATGATTTGAGAATACCGTTGTATTTTGAGTTTGCGAGTTTTAAAATTATGATTTGAGTATAGAAAATTTGTTTGGTTATGAGTTTTGAAAAGAGTTTTGAATTAAATTTTGAGTTGAGTGTTGAATTGAGTTTTGAATATTTGATGTAGCATGTGAAATAAAAAAAAAATTATTTGGTTATGAGTTTTGAAAAGAGTTTTCAAAACTTAATTCAAAAAGTTATACAACTCATAACCAAATACACAATTCAAAACTCTATTGAAAATTTTGTTCAAAACTCATAATCAAACTCTTTTTAAAATTCAATTAAAAAAAATAACATAATTTTTTTTTAATTGAAAATATTACAAAAAAAATAATTTATTTTTTTCAAAATAAATATTTAATTACTGCTTTAAAATAACTTTTGATTGTCTATATGGTTGGAATTATTTTTTTTAATTTTTTTATTTAAAATAAAAAAAAAGGAAATATTTTGTTTTCAAAATAAATATTCAATTACTGATTTAAAATAACTTTTATTGTATATATGGTTCGAATTATTATTTTTTAAATAGTTTTGATTTAAAACATAAAAATATATATTATTTTTGTTAAAAAAATCAAAAACAAAATTCTCATTTTTTCCCCCTCCAAACAACAGGTGCCAATTGTAAAAAAAATAAAAAAAAAACTGTTCCGAACGATCAGCCGGACGTCCGAATAGACCCAAGTCGTGCTTTTCAAAAAAAATTAAAAATTAAAAAAAAAAAAAACACTCCTCTCCAAACAGAAGCTGAAATGAGTTTTGAAATGTTATATTAGAATTAATTTTTAAAAACTTTAACCAAACAAACTATTGAAAACAACTCTGGAATCTTGTTTTCAGAGCTGCTCCAAACACAGCCTTTGTTTTGCAGATATTTATGTGTATCATACCTGTTATCTATTCTTATGCTTATAAAAAATCAATAAAATAAAACATGCTTTTTTAATATATAAATAGTGAACTTGCAACATCATTAAAAGCTACCTTTTATATTATACTTATTAAATAATTATTTTGCATCAATAAATTCATCTGTGACTAAACAAAAATAATTATTAGGGTAAAAGGTGTAATTTACCAAAATTTAAATCAAGAAAAAAGAAAGAAATTAATAAAAAATCAACACTCATAAACCTATAGGGTGTGTTTGTTTCGACGGATTGGATAAGGGGGATTGTAATATATCGGACTGTTAGTCCCGTGATACATTGTCCTCGAACTATTTAGTATTTGGTTGGATTGGATTTGTATCATATATTTGTTTAGTCATGAGATTAGATGTCTGGATTGGACTATTTTTAGTAAATCCAATGTTTGGTTAGACAGACTGGATAATGATAAATGTTCAAAAGACTATTTTACCCTTATAATTTATAATTTATATTTAATATGTAATTTTAAATTTGTAATCTATAATTTACAATTTAACAACACTAAAAAAATTTAATTTATAAGGCCATAATTTTTAATTTATTATTTTCAATTAAATTAAATTTATAATTTATATTTTTTATTTAACATATAATTTTAAATTAACAATACTAAAAAAATAATTTTATATTAGATAAAATTATTTTTTAACAACACAAAAAAAAAATTTAATTTATAAGACTAATTTTTAGGGAAAGTTACCAATAAATCCTAAATATTGAAATTGCACTCCATTTAGTCCTAATATTTATTCTTATGATCTATTTGGTCCTTTGTATTAGTAAATGACAAAAATACCATTAGGTATTTAATGTGACACGCACACTAAAAAAATAATTTTATTTAATATGTAAATTTAATTTTTTAACAACACTAAAAAAATTTAATTTATAAGGCCATAATTTTTAATTTATTATTTTTAATTAAATTTAATTTGTAATTTATAATTTAAATTTTTTATTTAATATATATTTTAAATTAACAACACTAAAAAAATAATTTATAAATGTTCAAAAGACTATTTTATTCTTTTCTAATTGTTTGCTAAATAATAGCATGGGAGTAAAATGGACATTTCATAATCCCATGGGATACCAATCCCATGAAAATAATCCCCCCATGGGATAGGATAGTCCCACAAATATAAGACTAATAGTTCGGGGGGACTATTAGTCCGGAGCAAAAAAATTGAAATAAACAATGGACTATTAGTCCGGTGGGATTAATAGTCCAATCCCAGACCCTAATACTTCAAAACAAACACACCCATAAAAGATTAATTACATTTTTAGTCTCCAAAATATAAATCTCATGTCATTTTAATCTCTAATATTTAAATTGTGAATTTAATCACTAATATATAAAAAAGAAAAATCTAACTCTATTAACACAATTTAAACATTAGTGGTTAAAATAACAGAAGATTCATACCTTAGAAACTAAAAATGCAATTAAACTAAAACACAAATACAAATATAAATACAAATACAAATACAAAGCAAAAGAAGAACCAGCGTCTTTGAAATTGCGTTATCTTTCGTGCCAAGAAAGTGTATAAACTCCAATGGATACATTTGTGTTGGATTTGGTTAGAGAATTTGGAAAGGGATTTAGAAAGGAAAAGAAAAAAAAGATAGATGAAATGTAAATAAAATTATATTTCACCTAATTTTACATATCTTTTTCCTTTCCAAATCTACTCTCAAATCTCCCAACTAAATATAGCCTTATTGAATTTTCCCTTTCTTTTCTGTGAAATTGCATGAACTCAACCACACACGCCTGATTTCATATAGTCTCCATTTTTTTTTGTAATTCATAATATAAATAACTGCATATTGAGCCCTCCCCTCCCCTCCCCTCCCCTCCCGGAGCACTACCTCCCTCTTCCACACCATCAAATGGATATGGCTCAGACATTGATGTCCGAGGCCGCCATAAACGACAACAGCACTGATTTTAAAGAAACCCCTGCGATCGAGGATGGTCATATCGCCGTGTATCACGATCACCGTGAAAATCGACCTGTTCTTGCTGACAGTGAAATCGAGGTGAGCCCTCACTGTCTCTCTTTGCACAAGTTCACATTCAAAGAAAGGAACACCGAAATTCTCAGATTATCGAGATGTCATATCGATAATATTCCGTGATAAGAGAATTTCGGTGGTGTTGTTAGTACTGCCTGCTAGTAACAAACTGCAAATTAATTCGTTTGATATTTCAGTTCTTTAGTAACCTGATTCCAGGAGACAATACTACTGCAAATGGATCTCTGCTCCCGGTCGACGCTAGGAATAACGAGAGGGATTACACAGCCTTAGATCTGCCTAAAGAAAATGAATCTGAATCAGAATCAGAAGTTCCAAAAAACATAAACAAGTGCTTCTCAAATTTCTATTCGTTGCTGACAGGCTCGGTTCTAATTGGCGGCTCCACATATACCAGTGTTTTCAATTTAAACCACTCTTACTCTAAAATGAATCTTTCAGTGTCCGAGACATAACATTGTGTCCTGATCGAGTCCCTGTGGCTTTCTACTCCGCCATGTTTATGACAGTCGCATTCACAGCGAGTATGGTTGGGCTACTATTTCCATTATGGTCGATGATTAAGAAATGGTCGTTTTGTTCTCGGGCACTTCCTTTGCTTGGCCTGGCCGCTTTCTTTGCCAGTTATGCTTTTACTATGAAGGCGAATGTGCCAAAGTTCTGCGTCACCATTAAATTATTCAAGATTTCAAGCTTCTGGTTGGTGTGGCTGTGTGGTCTTTCTTTAGTCCTTCCCCTAATTATAATATTCTTTGTGGTCAAGATTGTTCTTTTTCAATCTTTCACAAATTAAACCAAACCAGTCTCAAGGCAAATAAATGAAAATTTGTGAGTGTACATATTTTAATTATAGAATCAGGCACAACCATCTCATGCTCTCTGTCTCATCCTTTTTGAGATCTTGCTATATCACATGGGGGAAGGAGAAGGGGAAGGAATAAAAGAGTATGTTATGTTGAATGTGTCGTTGTTTTAAGATATGTGTATTCTTGAAAAAGTGTACTTTCTTTTTTCTTTAAATTTAATGATTTGACAGTGTATTATAATATTTAAGTCAAATCTTTTTCTCATGTTTTCTAATCATCCATCAATTATTTCCTGTACATATCATTGGTCTAAAAAATGAGTTTTCAAAATAGACTTGTATATCATTTTCCTACTTCCATTAGGATACTCTTATTTGTAATAATCATTATCCACGTGTACTACATTGTTAATCTAAAATGTTTTGAGGGAAATTACCATACGAATAATTCTACACATTAATAATCGTACTAAAATTTTTATTAAAAATACAAGATGTCAAAGGTGATTGTTTTCGAAGAAAAAAAAAAAAAACAATGACATTTAAACATCTAATGATGTTTGGACATGTATATTTTTAATATGATTGTTAGTAAGATTTTAAATAGATATAGCATTACTCATTACTGCCGCTGGGGGTTGGATTCAATGGATAGGGACGAAACCAAAAACCTGTTTTACCTGGATTCAACCATTGTCCCTCAGCATGACATCCTTAAATTTTGTCTCAAACGATTTCTTAGCTCGGGATTGGGGTCTGGTTAAACCTGAGCCACTCGTTTTTTCTTTCCTTTTTTTTTTTGTAACCACAAAAAAAAAAAAGAAAGTATTTCTCATTACCACACAGTGGTAGTTTTACAAAATTATTAAAAACTCATAAAAATTTAAAATTTTAATGATTAATATTTATATACTGTTTCATTAATTTGTAATTAAGTTTCCAAATGCCCACTAAGATGTTATTTTTCCAAATGTTTTTAGAGTGCTTATATATAAGGAGTATTTGGGATGAGAGGAAAAGACCTCTCTCTCCTAAGTTTACTATGTCGTGTTTAGTGCGGCTTATTGGAAATTAAAATCTGGTAATCAGAGAGTGGAAATTAAAAGCACATTTTCCTAAATTTTAAATAATCAATTTTTTTAACTTATTTAAATTATTTCTACCTAATAAACTATTTACATCAAATAATCTAATATAAATTCTCAACTTAAAATAAACTATAATTATCTCTTTTAAATTGTTATGATGTTCTCTCTCCTATTAATTGTTTGTTGTGATTGTACATGGTTGTGATTTGAAATTTGGCATTCATTGAATGAGGGTGTTTGGTAGAGCTTATAAGTTACTTATTTAAGCTTTTACTTAATTTAAACTAAAAACTTGTATTTGGTTCAGCTTAACTTGACTAACTTATAGCTTAAATAAAACTAAATTTCAGTTCTTTTAAAAAGTTGGTTAGGGGGTGCTTAAATATTTCAGCTTAAGCGGGCAGTTGGTGTTGGGGGGTGAAATGACTTAAATGTCCCTCCCAAACTTCATTATTACGAAAATGCCACTATATATACCGTTTGATGATCTCTCTTGCCCTAGCTCTTGCCTCTCACACTCTTCTCTCCAATTCTCTTTTCCTCTGCCGACCGAGAAGAAGCTCTACCAAGCACCCACGAAAACAGTCGTCGACTAGAACAACAATCCAAGCCCGAACTAGAACAAGCAGAAAACAAAGAACCTGAAGAAGAAGAAAAAGAAGAAGAAGGTGATGATGATGATCAGCGCAGGAGGAATAAAGGCGGTGCCAAAGAGTACGGTGACGATGGTGATCTCATTATTTGTAGGGTTAGTTAGCTCAAAAACCCTTATTTTTTTTCTTGGGTTTTAATTAAGTACTTGTTTGTTTTGCTGTGAGAGAGAATTTGATGTGGTTTGAACCGAAAGTAAACCCTAATCCACAAGTGACAAGGGTAGGCCCACAAAGGCTATAGCCTACTAGGAACAACCCAAGCCTACCATTTAGGGCCCAATACATAATTCAATTAATGAAGCTCAGTACTGCTGAAGCCCCACACAGCAATAAGAACTAATGTCATCAAAACACATGGCAAGAGAAGGGCAAGGCACATTAGCAGACAAAGATCTGCAAAGTTATGCCACGGCACATCGCCATTAATGAGGCCCCTTACAACATTTACTGTGATAACCCCTCTCTGTTGAGACGACACACCTCCTCAGCCTGAACAAGGTAAGGTACAGCATAGACTTCCGGTCAAGGTGACAGGTCGGAAGGGACAACGCAATGATTACCAGAGGATATAACCAGACGTCAAAGACAGGAAGAAGGTTAAGCTTTTCTATCTCTACTCCATCTCTACACTCGACTTCTCTCTAACTTGTTCGTCGGAGGGTTCGTTGGGGGACTCCCTATTCCCCGTTGAACTCTTGTGCAGGTCTTCAGGTGGGCTTGGTCGTTCGGACATAGGCTTGAGGAGCGTGGATCAGTCCGACCCGTTCTTCATCATTCTTGTATCATCAACAAGTATTGCATATAAATCTAAATGTGTGTGTATGTATATATGTGTAATTATTTATTTTATCAATGATCCTGACAATGTCTTTGATTTGTTTGAGTAAAAATATCATTTTTGATATAGAGTACTCCAATAGCACACTCAAATTTCACAATTGTAAAACTCATTTTGGTATGACTTTGAGTAAAGGAGTGGAGAGAGAATTGAGCATTTTTTACTCAAACTTAAATTTGATATATGGGTAAAGAGTAAGGATTAGAGATGCCCTTAAGTTGTGTGGATCCTTTTCTTTTTTTTTTTTTTTGGAGAATTGATCAATTGGGTTGTAGGAGTTTTAATTTGTTTTCTTTTCTTGGGCTTTCTCTTTCTATGCTTACCAAATTGTGTGTAAGTGTTTCTTTTCATTTTGTTTTGTCTTATTTTTATGTTTCAAGATGGGAGAGAGATTGTGGCTTTCAATTGATTTACTAGTTTTGATATTTATTTGTTTTTTTGTTGCTATCTGAGAAGAGAAGGGTGAATATATTAGGATTTTTGCTTTAATTGGATTGGCAAGCTGCTGGGATATGTCGGTAATAGGATTTCAAGCTGTTCTTTGTGTGTATATATTTTGAATTTTAAAGAGTAATATTCTTGCAATAAACATTTATAGGGTGACCTTGCTTTTATTGCTTTTATTGTATTCATAGTATATATCTCTCACAAATAAGGAGAGGGACATTGTTACTGCTATGCTTTCTTCTAGTTTTATGAACAACCTTAGGGGCTGTATTATTGTGTTCTCAAGTGATATGCTTAGAATCTTAAAAGAAGGATTTATTTCTTCTAAATTGAGAAAGATATTTAATTTCTTCTTCAAATCTAAAAATTTAATTTGTTTGCTTATGTTAAATTGCATTACTCTATGTTTGCTTCTTTAATCTCATTTCTCGGAGTGAAGTTGAGGTTCTTTTTCTCATATTTTCTTGTGTTGCATGTACTTACACCCAACACTCTATGTTTTAGAAATGACTAGAAGTCTCCAACTATGCCCTCAACAAAACAAGAACATTTCAAGGCCTTGGTTTTTCAAGCAGCAACACCTTTCTTAATCGGAAGAACCAATTGGTTTGAAATGAGGTTGAACTGTTCCTAGCTTCGCCTTTGAATATTGAAGCCTATGACAAAGTTTACATGCAGCATTTGGGTTGGAAAGTTTATGGGATTACCATTGAGGAAGGAGAAGTTAGTGGAAATGCACCTTTAGTTCCGTACCTATTTTTATTTGACGAGGACTGATGGAATTGAGTGATCATTTTGTCTTGCAAATGTAGATTAATACTTGCGTTTGTTTCATTTGTTTTGTAATCTTCATTTGGTACTCTTTTGGACGAACGTTGTAATAAGTTCTGCTTTGTGTAAAAAGATGAGGTGTACCAATGGAGAGAGAAAAAGAAGTCTTTAATTTTTTGGGGGTTCATTTTGTTTTGAGTTTCATTACCCTAGAAGGAGATTTGTATGTTGAGAGGTGAAATTTTTTGGGAAGATGACTGTGGCCCTATTTCGAGCAGAGTATTGGACATAATTAAGGATAAACTGTGTAATGTTTGTTGGGTTGTGTTTGTCTTTTGTTTTTTTATTTTTATTTTTATTTTTATTTTTTAGAGCACTACTTTGTTTGGCTAGTTGTTCTTCAAAATAGCTTTTAATTTTTTTGAAAAATAACTCAGTGCTTATGGAATACTCACTACAGGAAAAAGCACATTTGGCGACCAAATTTCCCGACTAAAAAAAATTTGGTCGCTGAAAGTATAGCTTTTGGCGACTAAATAAGCATTAGTAGCCAAAAGTAAAGATTTTTGGCGACTAAAAAAATTTAGTAGCGAAAAGTATAGTAATTGGCGACTAAAAATCTGTTTGGTCGCCGATATATGACTTTTACCGACTAAAAAAATTTTAGTAGCCAAAAGTTAGGCCCTTTGGCGACTAAAAAAAATTAGTAGCCAAAAGTGAGGCATTCGGCGACTAAATTGATGCTTGGTCGCCAAAAGTGAGGCTTTTACCGACTAAAAAAATTTTGGTAGCCAAAAGTTAGGCCCTTTGGCGACTAAAAAAATTTAGTGGCCAAAAGTGAGGTCTTTACCGACTAAAAAAATTTTAGTAGCCAAAAGTGAGGGTTTTTGACGACTAAAAATAATTTAGTAGCCAAAAGTGAGGCTTTCGGCGACTAAAAAGAAGTTTAGTCGCCAAAAGTAGTAATTTTAGCGCGGGAATTTTATTTTTAACGACTAAAAAATTATTAGTAGCCAAAAGTATAGAATTGGCGACTAAAATTATGTTTAGTCGCCAAAAGTGGTCTCTTTTTTTTTCTAATAAATAATTTATTTTTACATAAATTATGTTCAATAAAAAATAATTATCTTTATATATATACTTTTATATTAATACGGGTCTATGGACTATATAAATAATATATGTTGCATACATAATCATATAGTGTTATGGAGGCGTAGTGGAAAGAGGGTGTTGTATAAGGTTTATGGTGAGAGAGGTTGATGGTTCGAATCTCCACAAGAGCAGAGTGTAATTTTTTTTTTTCACGAAATCACTTTTGGCGACTAAAAGGTTTGGTTGCCGATTCCTTGAGTATTGGCGACTAAAACATTGGTTGGTAAATGTATGATTTAAAAAAATATAATTGATTATTGGCGACCAATAATTTAGTAGCCAAACATTGGCC